TTTTAAGGAAGTTGGGTTAGAAAAAGTGTTAGAGTTGGTTTTGTGATTTACTACATCGAAGCCTTTTCCTGTTGGACTTTCAGGCTGAGGAAGTCAGGAGAAAGTGATTATAAAAGTAATTTTCTACAGTTTTCAGATCATTTTAAGACAATAAAGAAGTTAATTGATGAATTCTTAGATTTGAGAGTAAAGGTTTATTCTTAAAAGCCTAATAATGTCATCTCTAAATAAACTGACTTAGTTATAGTGCACATTTTATTTGTTTTACATTAAGTATGAATATTTAAGTGGTAAAGTATATCTGCATATATGAGTTCACAAAATGACACTGATAATAATTCATGCTTTTCTTTTCCTACTTAATTATAAAAACATCCTTTGAAACCTGAAATGTCTGTGTGAACAAAATGTAATAGCCAAGTATAAATAGTGTGGGATTTTAATACATACATATATATGTATATACCTATGTATACATATATACATACATATACATATTGGAGACAGAATAGGACTAAATGAAGGAAAAAGAATATCAGAATTCTATTCTAAGTTTTGTCTCTAACTCTATGACCTTGGATAAATGTCTTTTTATTCTGTAAGATGCAGGCAAAAACTGCCCCCTACCTACCTTTTGGAGCTGCTGCAAGATTTATTAAACTAGGAGAAAAACAAAAACAGTTTAGAGGTCTAATGAGATAGAATTCTCATAAATACAAGACAGTATTGTTATTTGCAAGGTGTACAAAGTTGAGTTGATTTTCATTACATTCATGAAAGTCAGGTAGATAATTTTAGCCTTATTTTTACAGATGAGAAGGCTTAAATCTTTCTGCTAAAGCCACTTAATTTAGATATATGATAAAGGTACGATGACTGGATTCAGACCTAGATCAGTATTTGTTGATATTTGAATGTATTTTTAGGGGCAGTTTTAAAAATCCCAAATTTCCTTGGCAGCTGATGAGAATAACCTGCCTATTATTCTCTCTGGTTATCTTTCTGCGATTCTTCATGAAAATGATCTAAAAAGCAAGACACCTTGTCTCAATGGTATCCAAGGAGAGCCAAGTATTTTGAAAGCTATTAAAAGACATTGTTCTAATTATGAGGCATATAATGTGATTTAGTGCAAGTGCAGCCAAGGTATCCATAAGAAATGGAGAAATGTAGGAAAAGGGAAAGAAGGAAATCCAGTAAAAGAATTAACTTGTAGCTCCTGCAGTGAGATTATGAGAGTAGTGACTATTCTGCTCTCTTTAAAATGACTCCACCACATACATCAAATAAAAACAAATGGAAATAGAGTATACATGTTCTCCCTTCCCAAACAAACTTGATCACTTGTTTCCAAAATTGCTTGCTTATCCTTACTAAAAATGATTAAAAGTACTAGAGTGTCTGGCACACAGTAAGTCTCCAATAAGTATTATCTGTCATTAGTTGGAGTTGAAGTAAAAAGAACACTGCATAAAGTTATGTGCCTCTCAGGAATAAGGATGCCTATGTAGAAGCCTTGACTTTGCACTAACTTCTAGTGTGATTCTCGATAACTGCACAACAACATCTGTAAAGTGGGGAAATGATAATACTGAGATAAACTTAAATAAAAAGCCCACTTGAGTTGGTACTTTAAAATCCTTAGCACAGTTTTTCACAGAGTACATATCTGATTTACAAAGTGTTAGCTATTAAGAGTTATTGCAGGTAGTCTTGTTACACAAGTGCCAGCCAGCCATTATTTATTTATGAATGGACCAGATCATGAGGGAGACATTAGAAAAAGAGCTGATCTATAAGGAAGATGTGATCATTATTCATATTAGTGTTTTTAGTGATTATTAGGAAAAAAAAGTCAAAATAAAATGGTAGAAGACTGTAACATATGCTAAGAATGATCCAGTAAGAGACTGATACAGAAAATGAGAAGGGGATATCTTCTTTGGGTAGGGGCATTAGGTAAAGTCCCCCTGGATGCATATTTGAAGTAAAAATCTTAAAGAGAAATCAATCGTGGGAAGTGAAGGTGGTGGTGGGAATTCCCGGCAGTTGGAACAACATGTGCAAAGTTACAAGTTAAAAAATTCTAGGCACATTGGAGGAAAGGTCAGCTCTGGATGAGTGGAGTATATGAATGAGGGAGAGAGAACTGCCAAATGGTATTGAGAAAAGGGTAGCTGATGGCCATGCTAAGGAGTGTGGATAGTATTCTGTTTTCAATATTAAATTGATTAAGGGTGTCAAGCAGTGATGAGAAATTATATTTTATAATTTTGAAAGACTACCTTTTCTTCACTGTAGGGTAAAGTATCTAAACTGTTTTGATTATCCAGTAATTGATGATTGGGGAGGCTAAGTTTTAATTTTTTTCATTAAAATTAAATGTGTCACCAAGTTGTATTCTTTTCTTCCTGCAAATGAATAGGTCAACTTGTGGTGCTTTGGAGATAACTACTGGAGAAATAGGATGGTACAGAGCAATTGTGAAGTTGGGCAGGCAGTAAAGGGGTTGTTGGTCTAGCTAGTCCAGATGTGAAATGGCGAAGATCTAGACAAAGCAATGGTAGATTTTTCATATGCATAATGTGGAGACTTGTGAGAATTATCAGTGTATGAACTCTACTGGCCTTTTATATCAACTATTTTCCTAATAAATGATCCATTCTGGTTGCATTATACTGATAAACCCTACTTAGTAGGTTGTTGGATTAAAAACACATTGAAATAGACTTTTCACCATGACTAGCCTAATACTTAGGGTCTTAGTTAGATGGAAATAGTTTAGGATATTACTGGCACTTGTCCTTTCTACTTATTAATACAAGTCAAAGGGGAAAAAATGACACACAAGCACCCACAATATTTCTTGAAGCCAATTTTATCTATATTTTTGAAACTTTTTTCTCAAACAGATAATTAAAATCAGACATTAAAAATGTCTACAAAGTACCAGCAAATGGACTGTAAATGCTTTGAATTGCAGAACTTATTATAATGGCCGTATTTGGAAAGATGATAGTTCTATGCTCTGGGAAGGAAAAATCCACTCTGCTTGTACCAATTTTCTTCAGAAGAATTTTCATTTTAATACTTAAAATAATACAGATTTTGGTATGGGAAGAAAAAAAAAACTAAGGCCAGAAAATATGAATCCACTTATTTATTCTTTTCCATTTTTGCTTTTTCCAGTCCTGAATTTGGATGGGAATTTATTGGGTTCTGATTCTTTAATCTGCTTTTCCTTTCTTGGAGGGATTCCCACACACTTATCCAGACTAGAAAGGAGGTTACCGGGGCATAGAAAGAAGACATTAAGCAAATGATCCTGTAAAGCTCTGAAAACCTTCTTGAGGGGAGGAAAATGAGCACCCTGGGTTTTGACAAAGAGCACTTGCAATTTGGAGAGGAAAAAGGACTTCTGGCCCTGTTCTCCTCCAGCTCGAGGAGAACATTCTGCCAAACAATGTTTCTGGAGGATCCATACTTGTGCAGTGAAAGGTGTTTTGGGGAGAACAGCCCATGGAGTCCTTTAATGACAAGAATATATTCTTCTGTCCTGCTGTGTACTCTAACATAATGGCAAAGAAGACTTCCTCTTTGTATTTGCACTTTTCTTGCATTGGTCATAAGAACAGTGACTTAAATAATTTTTTAAACACCTCTCTGGATTAACTCGATATCTTAGAAGTTCCTCTTGGGCAGCATTAGAAAGGGTTTAATAAATCCAAGGGTCAGTACCACTCTACATTACTTCCAAGTTGGTCTCACTGCAAACCCAGAACTCAAAAGTTTACCATCTAAACTTTAAACAGTAGCAGGGGAACTGAGTTGGGTTGATATTATAATAATACAATTGCAGAATTTTAGGAGTGGAAGGGATTTTAAAGGTCATCTAATGCAACCAGTTTATTTTAAAGGGGGCAAACTCAGAGATTGTGACTTCTCTGAGATCTCACAGCAACCTAGTAAGAGTGTTCGGAATAGACTTGCTAATGGAGATCTCAAGTCTTGTGTTGGTGACCCTGAGCTAGGCACCAAAGGACAGAGGGTAAATATAGCACCATGCCCCCTTTCCTGTATTTATTTCATGTACAAATACATTATAGACTCACAATGCGTATTTATTGAATTGATGGTTTCCTATCATGTAGGGCACTGTGCCAAGCATTGAGGATAAAATGGCAAACAAACTGAACAGGTCTTTTTGTCCAAGTTGTTCACAATTGGTATTCCTGTCTTCAGTGAGTTTCCAGTCCCTTAGTGAAGCCAAAATGTTATTATGCCTACAAAACTCCAAGTGGAACCTTGGTTTAGAAAAGTGTTCTCCAATATGTTTGTAGGCAAAAAGATTGGGTTCAAATACAGTGATTTAGGAGATCAGGAAAGGAATCTAAGCGTAATAATCGATGGAAAATCCCCTAAATACACACACACACACACACACACACACAAGTCCGCGAGATCATTTAATTACATCACTCTCTGCTGCTGCCTTTCCGGGATCTCCCCCAGGCTGCTGGGACCCAGGCTCTGCTCAGAGAAAGGTTGAGATGCGCCAACCCTCCGAGAACAAGAAAGGCAAAGAGGAAGAGCCCACCCATCTACCTCCTAAACTGGAGAACATCAGAAAAAGAGGAAAAGGGAAACAGCAGCAGAGACTGATAGAAACGGTAAAACAGGAAAAATAAATAAATAAATTAACCCTCCATACAGCGACAGCCTGGGAGCCTTGGGCCGGCCGCCCCCACGGGAAGGGTGCGCGAGCTCTTCACTGGGACCCGAGACCGCAGACCGCGGGGGCACAAAGCCGGAGGCGGCGACGCCTGTGAGGCCGCGGGGAGGGTCGCGGCGGTGCATCCAGTGCCCGCAGCCCGGGTGCGCAGCGCAGCTAGGCGGCGGGACGCGGAGCCCGGAGCCCCGGCAGCGCCAGCCCTCCCTCCCGCGTCGCCCGCCAGCGCGCCAGCGCCCGCTCCGCCTGTGACTTCAGTGCAGCTCCACCCCCGCGTGGCGGCGGCTCGCTCGGTCCGAACCCGCGCTCGGCACAAGCCCAGCCCCGGCGAGCGGCCGCCACCTGCCCGGCGCCTCCTCTACCCGCCCCACCGCGGCCCAACTTGGATGGAGTTGGGGTCTTGAGCACCTGCCCCCGCCGCCGCCAGCGGAGAGCCCCGCGCCGCCTCCTTCGGTCTGGGACCCCTTCTCCGCTCCTCTCTGCTCCCGCGATGGGAAAAGTTGGCGCCGGCGGCAGCTCCGCAGCCCGGCTGAGTGCGCTTCTCGCCGGAGCGGGGCTTTTGGTCCTCTGCGCCCCGGGCGCCTGCAGCAGCGGTTCTTGCTGCCCCCCACCGCACCCCAACTCGGCTGGACGCTGGACCACGACCCCAGGGGGCTTTTTCCACCAAGGACCGTCAGGCAGGGCTCCTGCCACGCCCCTGCCGCTTCTTGTGCGCCCCCTGTTTGCAGTGGCCCCCGGGGACCGAGCGCTATCCCTGGAGCGGGCCCGGGGCACCGGGGCGTCGGTGTCGGTTGCCGCACGCTCCAGCCGAAGGAGACGAAGTGGAGCGGTTCAGGAGAAGGCAGAAAGGGTAGAGGGCTCCAGTAGGAGCCCCCGGGGAGTACTGAGGGACGGAGGGCAGCCAGAGCTTGGGACTCCGGAGCGGGACCTGGACAAAGCCACCCGCTTCCGAATGGAGGAGCTGAGACTGACCAGCACCACGTTTGCACTGACAGGAGACTCCGCACACAACCAAGCCATGGTCCATTGGTCCGGCCACAACAGCAGCGTGAGTAGATGGGGACTGGGGGCAAAGGAGTGAAAGATGGAAAGGGTTAAAGTCCACTGTTTGATCTGATGGAGAATTGGGGGAAATGGGTCTTGTGAGATCCTGCAAACTGAAGTCTTCTCTGCCCTCCTCCCTCAGGAGTTAATATAACCTACTATGAGGCTAACCTCCACCTCCCTCTCCTACCCAAATCATCAGAGCCCTCTCCACATCCCAAAGGAAGATTCCAACTGAGCAGCAAATCCCTATTTACTAGTGTTTTCTTTTTCTTTTTTTCTCTTTTTGGTGGTATAGGTGTGTAGAATGAAGATCAGGCCGACAAGGGGGTTAAAGTACTCAGTGTAGGCATGAAAGGGTTAAATTTCCAGACAAATGGACAGTGCCTCAAGTGACTGTGACTTTCCTTTTACTTGCTAGACTTATGGACGGGCTCAAGTCTGATCAAGAAGACTTATATATGGGGGCTTTTATTTTATTTTTATGTGGCACTCCTAACCCCTTCTTCACAGGATGGGGGGACTGCAGGGGAATATAAGGTGCCCTTTATTGGATTCTCTGTTTGGGGGACCGAGTGGGAGTGGATGCAAGTTTCAGGGCAGGAACTCTCCAGCATCTTCTAACAGCACTAGCAAGTGTGTTTTGAGAGCTGGGGCTTTCCAGCTCATGAAAGAGTGGTTGTTCTCTGGCATGATCAGTCTCAGGAAGATCAGATATATGCCAGTGACAACAGCTCCCTGTTCTCCCCCAGTGTCTGACCTCCTCTAGTGAGGAGCACAAATAAAGACTTGCCATTTCTGTTATGAAGGCAGGAAAACCATTGCTGGATTCCAGGAGGGGATTCCAGAGGACTGGGGGTACAATGGCATGGTCATGTCAGGGAAGGTTTTAGATTTTTTGAAAACCCTGTGTATTTGCATTCTGAGGGGGCTATTACAGTTTCAACTGAACCCAAAAACTTCAATGAGCTGAAATACCAAAGAACTAGCTTTGACCCAAACAATTTAAAAGTATGGAAAGTTCTTTGAGCTGCCATGAATAGACAAGAAGAATCTAAAAATCAAAGACATAAAATGAAAAAAAAAAATCCAGGTTTCAGCTTCAGTCAGGTCATTGGGGTTGTAGAGGTTGTAAGGTGCACAGTCTATTACAACCTTTGGAAATGTTTTCTGTGGGGGTTTAAAAGCCAGAAATTTCCCCTGTCGACTGCCACTTTTGTCTATTGTGCTCATTGTCCGGTTTTTAATTAGAGTTGTGAGCATTTTAAAATATGATCCATCATCACAGATTCCTTGTACTAAGGCAAATCGGGATACAAAGTATTTTGAATTGATGTCTCTGTCCTGAGAGTACCAGCAGAGTTTTCCCTACAATGCAGCCTTCGTGACAGAGGCTGTGGTTTTTATATGGTTCTTAGGAGTGGTTTAATCAAATAATTGAAGATGAAATTCTTTCCTTTCAAACCTGAACACCCTTGCCCTCATCCTGTACCTTAACTATCATGTCTTTCATATCATGGCCAAAAAAATTAATTCTGCAATTTGAACTTGAATTTTCTTAGACTGATGGAATAACTTTCACCTTCTTTAAGTGATGAATGCACAGCTCTGGCGTTAGGGGGAGATTTTAAACACATCAGACATGTTAGATCATGTTGTATTAAGAAGTAAAAAAAAAAAAAAACTTTGGACTCAAGATATTTTTGGCTTTTAATGTAATTCGAGCTGTAAAAAATCACTTACCCACTAGACCTCTACTTTAGTTTCTGTCTTGAAAGATCTTGGAAAGAGTAAGAAAAGGAGAATATATCTTTGGCAAATTTTAACCTCCACTTAAGAAATGGCAGAAAGCACTGCCAGCCCTTAATATTTTTTTTTAATAAATGGTGCTTATAAGTCCAGTATGGCTTATTAGGGTCAAGGCTTAAAATATGCAGGCAAGTCTGAGGTAATGTGGAAAACAATCAAGGTGGTGAGTGTTTAAGGTTTGAACAGTCCAATCCTGTTAACTAATGAGATGAGATTTCTACCCTCTGAAGTCTTTTATTCTGGATGATATCACCCCTCTCCTCTCCTGTCCCTTCCCTGCTCATTGCACACAATTGTTATTTTTTATATTTAATGTATGCATGCAGATATTGGAGAAGAGGAATAGTTTTTATCCAGGATCTCCAAAATAAAGCTAGTACTACTTTTCTGGACCAAACTCATAGGAGACACAAAGATTAAAATGCTTTTAAAGGGAAAGAAGGCAGAAAGAAACTTTTCTGGCAACTTTTTGAAAAAAAAAAAGAGCAGAGACTATAGAGTTCTAATGCTGTGTATTTGTGGCTTGACCATTACAAGTCTGTTGTGCTCTGGGCATGGAACACCTCATCTTTAAAGTGGGGGCAGTGATTATCAAATTAATTACCAAGAATACCCCTTACACTTATTCGGAATTCTCTCACATCCCCCCAGAATGAAAGTCCAATAACTTAAACCCAAGGGCAAAATTGGGGGCTCCCATCTTTTTATAAATCCATTCAGGGACACAGGAAATCAATCCTCTAACACTGTCTCACCTTTAACTAAAAAAAAAAAAACAACGCTAAGAAGAGCCTCTGATTACAATAACACCTGTGTTCAAGGTACAAATGTATGGTAATTATAGGCTGCCTGTCAAACTGGTGAGGGATTCTAGATTGTTCACTCACCTACTTCCCTCTCTCTTCTGCCCCCTCAGCCATTGGACTTGTGCGGTTGTGTAAAGACATGACTGTTTTGCCTCATCCGTGGGTGGGATGTGATTCCTCTATACTGCAGTCTTCTTGCTTGATGGAAACCGTTGCTAGAGTTGGTAGAACACCTGGGGGGATCTTCTGGCATGAAAGGTGCTGGGTATGAATCATTTGTCATGAGCTTGGTGCGTAAGGAAGAACATATTGTTCCTACCCTACTCATCCCAGGCATGCTGTGCCCTGATCTAAATTTATATAGTAATCCTTAGAGTTTTAAAAATATATTTGTCTATATGTGTGTGCATGATGGTGTATATGTTTATTCCTTATTTCCCTGGGATTTCAAAGTGCTACACTTACAAATTTTTAAAAAATCCTTGGTAGGTAGTAAGTAGGTAATGAGCATTAATATCTCTTCTTCATATTTTTATGCTGGAGTTAATTTGAATATTTCAATTCACCACTCCCCCTCTTTCTCACTGGCAATAGTGTTAAAAGATTTGTTAGCAGAAGCTTTTACTTGATTTATGTGTTGGCATTATGATATCTTTAATGCTGCATTTATCAAAGGACATGGTGATTTGGCTGGTTTTCATGGATCTCTTTGCCTTTAATTGCCCTGGCACTTGACATTTACCATCCAACTTTAGTAAACAGAGTGCCAAGGAGGGGCCAGGTCGATGCCTGGCATTTATCATCTCACTTAATTTTCATGAAAACGTCATGAGTAGGTATTCTTGTTCCCATTACATGGAGGAGGAAGCTGAGGCTCTGGAAGGCTACATGAGTTGCTAAGAGGAATCAGCAGTTCAGGGGAAGAGCGGGACTGGCACTCAGGTTTATTCAACTCTAAAACCCTATAGGATGACTTGTCCTGTAGACTTTAAAGCAGGACAGAAAAACCCAGACCTTTCAGAAAAGTCATCCTCTTTTGACTTGATTTCTGATGGTGGGGAGGATGTGCTCTTGGCTGGAAGCTTTGTCTCCTTGTAGAAAAGCAAGGATTTCAATATGTGCCTGCCGCGTGGTGCTCTTTACCTCAGGTAGTGATCTGGTTTTCTCTCTTCTGCCCACCTCTTCATCTTTCTAAGACATGCAGTCTGCCTCTGGTGATTTGATGAGGGTAACCTGTGATCACTCAGCTTTCAGATGTTTTTCTGCAGGAATAAATAATGACAAATCTGATCTTATAGATGAGTTTGGAATCACACGCTTGATTTAACTATGTATTTTGGTAGGCTGTTTGTTTTGACCCAACTTTTTGTTTTTTAAGCAAAATGATAAAAAGATTTTAGCTTTCTTTAGCAAGCCCACACAATTCCTTCTCTGACTGATATTTTATGCTTTTAATGAAATCTAATGTGAGGTTACACTGGAGGTAGTAGTATGGGAAACAAACAGACTTGGGTTCAAATCTTGACTCTCCTTGCCATTATCAAGACACTTAAATTCTTTGAGCCTCAGTCTCTTCATCTGCAATGAAGTTTGTCTTCAGTAGGCTTTTCCTGAAGCTTTGACATCAGATATGGTAAGGGAAATGCCTTGTATATAGTAAGTGCTCAATAAATGGTACTTTTTTTTAGGTGAAGAAAGTGTTCTTCACTGGAAATTACAAACCTTGGATTATATTCCTGACTGTATACAAAAATTGTGTATATAGTTAAAGCACGTTAAAATTTTGTGTCAACATTTTTATCCTCTGTGAAATGACAGTAAGAGACTAGAACACCACTAAATTCCCTTACATGTTAAAATTAATTTAATACTTTGTTCAACCTGTAAGGTATTGGGTACCTGTGACATTTAAGTGATTGTACTGGGAGTGTTGAGGATGGAGAAATAATATAATGACCTACATTTTTGACCTGTGAGTGAGCAAACTTTTCATTTCACATGATTTTCCTTTTCTCACAGTTCATGTACATATCTGTTTATGGAAAATTGAGAACTTTTGGATCTAAGAAGGTTTTCATGTAGATCTGGGCACATAGATTTTCAGCACAACACAGTTTATAGGTTTTTTGCATGACCTCTTCATGTTGAGGAACATGCTATCTCTGAATCAAAGGGGAGAAAAAGACTCAAGTGAATTGAAAACTAAGCATCTCTTAGATATTCAGTGGGATTTTCTAGAGTAAATTGACACGAATATCAACTCAGGGAACTCTCCACATCCTTTAAAAGAGGATCCTTAAGAACTCTTTTGTAAGTGAGGCTACACAAACAGGTGGAATAATACAATTTACTAATGAGAATAATAATTGCACACATGTCAGGAATGACT